GGCAGCAACTCAAGAGCGCCACTCAACACAGTGTCACACATGTCCAGTCCCGATCACTTTGAATGTGCTTATTGCGGTGCTTCTTAAAAAATTARRAAACGACAAATTTGGAGTGTTTTTYGTGTTCAGATCAGTGTCGTGCCCGAAGGGMTCGGCACAACATCGACACCCAACCCAGTCCAATGTATTTGTTGTGCCGAGCCCTACGGGCACTGTGTTACRTGTTGTGCTTTTGAGTTGCTGCCGCCCGGTGCGCTARTGAGTTATAACTCATCGCGYCTCACTGCGCCGCACTTTGACTGGAAARCGAGATTTAATGAGTCTGCCTAATGCCTAAATGACGCAAGATCGATGAGTTTCTTGATTTTTTGTCCGAAAATATCCTCAGGGTGAGTCCCAAACCCTTCAATTGAGCTTCTGGGGAGTGTCTTAAAAAAATTTTTATCGAGAAATTTGGAGTGTTTTTCGTGTCCAGAGCAGGCACAACGTGGACAACCGACTCAGTTTGCAACTCATTAACCAGTGAGTTATGACTCACTAACTCAGAGAGCGGCAGCAACTCAAGAGCGCCACTCAACACAGTGTCACACATGTCCAGTCCCGATCACTTTGAATGTGCTTATTGCGGTGCTTCTTAAAAAATTAAAAAACGACACATTTGGAGTGTTTTTCGTGTTCAGATCAGTGTCGTGCCCGAAGGGCTCGGCACAACATCGACACCCAACCCAGTCCAATGTATTGTATTTGTTGTGCCGAGCCCTATAGGCACTGTGTTACATTGTGCTTTTGAGTTGCTGCCGCCCGGTGCGCTAATGAGTTATAACTCATCGCGTCTCACTGCGCCGCACTTTGACTGGGAAGCGAGATTTTTTCCGAAAATATCTTGATCGTGATATTGAGGAGTTCCTTAAAAAAATGTAATGGTGGTGCATTTTGGGCAAGTTTAGAGCGTTTTTCCGGCGGATTCTGGTCCGGCCCTGCAGCGACTCCCGCAGCATTTCGATCAGAGCCGAGGCATTTGAAGCAGCCCGGCGGTGGTGAATGGGAAATCGCGATCCACTTAGACATTTGATACTTTTTACATTTCGTTTGTGCGACATGATTTAAGGGCTGAACTGTGCGACTGAAAGTGACGTATTTATTATATGTTGGCGGGAGGGGGAGCCGGTTTCTGCGGCCGAAAGGAACAAATCAAGCAGGCATTTGTCTTCCGAAACCGCCAGCACCAGCGGCAAATCGATGCCGAAACGTCCAATCCGCCAAAGATAACTCGCTTTTCACTAACTTCCACCCAAACTAGTCGAATCGCCGCCGCTCAGCTGAAGTGTGCGCCCGATAAGGGGGCGGCGGCGAATATTGAAATGATTTTTCCGCTGTCGTTTGGCGTTCTTTCGGACACTATCGCACGATGGCAACTTCCAATCGAACGGACTCCATTCACGTTGCCTGCATCATCCCGGCTGGCGTTTTCGTTTCGTTTATTCCGGGGGAAAATCCCGTACTGTAATGCCCGCCATCCATCGTCCGAGCGGGCGGGCCGCCCTTCGCCCCCATTCCCCATAACAAAAACCTTTTAATTTGCCTAAAAGGCTCCATATTTCAGCCAGCAACTCCTCCTTATTACGCAAATAAAGCACTTCGAAGTCGGCCAAAGGAAAAATACGAACACCAACAAGAGATTCATCGCCGTAATGAATCGCTCGCGCGTCCAGACTGGACGTGACCCATTCGGTCCGGACAAAAACGTCCAATTAGTCGCCTTTCGACGCGATCCCGATCCAAAGTGGGCGGCTGGCGGGCGCTCCATCATCCAATTATCAAAAAACGAAACTTTCCACCCTTAACGAGCCGATGAATAATTCAACTAATTAACGGCGGCAAATATGCGTCTCTCAAGCATCCCGCGAGGTATTTAAAAATTTTATTCGGGCGCAGATTTCGCTCTTTGCGCCTCCTAATTGCGAATTGGAATTGCAAGTTTTCTCTAATTGTTTCGCGGCGTTTTTTCCCCCTTTGCATTCCGTTTTCGGCTGGAAAGTCGTGCTAAACTCCGCAACAAACTGCACCTTAAACAGCCAAATTTGCCCACAACTTTCACACGGTTTTGGAGCGGTTTGGGTCGGTTGGACAAAAAAGCGATTTTGTTTTGTTTGAAGATAGACCAACTGGCTCGAAACTACTTTTTGCCAAAAAATTCACAGTTGGGCTAACGATAAAATTATTTTTTGCAAAAGTTGCGATAACTCCTCAACTAGTCGAGCTAGATGTTGGGTCTTTTTACCCAAAATACCTGCTGATGGCCTGGTTAAGATGTGAAAGTTTCC